ACCACCGCCGCCGGGTTCGCAGCACGCGCCACCCTCGCACGCGCAGCACGCGCACCTCATCGCGCATGCACATGCCGCGGCTTCGCCGAGCTCGCATCTCGTTCCGTGCTCAAGCCCGGGCCCGATGCTCGCCGGGGGCCCGTACCAACAATCCTGTCCCTCGCCCCTGCCACCTCATCACGCCGCCTATCATCCTCACATGTCGCACTCGCATCCTCAACGGTAGTACGCGCTTCGATCCATTTGCTTCGCTCTTTGCCTATTCCCCGTTTTTTCTATCGCGTTTCGATAGAGGTGGATAGTCGCGAGGTAGGTTTCTGCGACGATGCGTAACGTCGTCGTCACTGAGAATCAAAAAATACTCGGAGAAGAGAGAATTATTTGATTGTCTTGTGCCGATACTCGTAGGTCGGATAATTGCGATGAAAACGACGTCAGTCCGAGACAATTTTTGTGCAATGTATTTTACGTACAAAGAACGAAAAAGATTAGTGAAATTTTTAGTGCAATATTATGTGCGCACGTTGCTCGGAGCGCGCGAATTGGAGATATTTTGCGACGAAGAGAAAATTTACCGATAACATTTACTGATAAAATCTCTTTGATATTTGCAAATTGAAAGAACCGATGATGAAAGCGGAGTCACGGGACGTTTCGACTTTGAACATAAATTAAATGTTTCCTATCGGGAAATGGGAAACGATGTGCGACTATTTTAGCGCGCGCTGACGCAAGGCGCGTACGCGCCGCGGATGTTAGATACCGAAATAATTTCTCTTACATTCACGTCGTCGGCTTGATTTCCCTTTAAGCGCTACGACGTATCACGGCGCGATGATATATTTATCGAAAATTAATAATTCGAACACGAAAGTAACTCGAGCCTCTTTGCGAGCGCATCACAGCTTGAGCGTCAGTTTGTATTTGAATATGCGGCTGGTTCCGCGCGCGCAAATCTAGTCCGAGCACATGAAACTTACATATATTTAATACACGAACACATTAGTATGTACGTGTTACATACATTGGTTGAATCTTGATCGAAATCGAAGTCGCTCCGAGCGATTCACGTTCTCGCGCGTGAAAAAATTCGAGATGGAATTCTCTCTCGTCGGAACATGAAAAGATAATTAGAGAAAAGTAGACACTGAAGTGGAGGAGTACATTTTTTTTTTTCAACAATCGGATCATCACGAGTGATGATTCGCGAGATCTCGAGCGTATTTTCGACGGAACGGTCTATCGAATAGAGACAGACGATCGCGAGCTGCGCAAAAAGTTCGACGTACGACTAAGGTGTGTGACAATAAAGATTATGTGCGAGAAAGAAGGAATTAATTAATTAACACGTTCTGTAGATTATAGATAGATTAGGGAAAAATTGCACCCGGTTTGCGATAGTAAGAGAAAAATTATTCGCGCGCAATCCCAACAGCAGCACTCGTCCAACAAGCTCTCTCTCTTTCTCACATGTTTCTCGTTTTTTTTTTTTTTTTTTTTATATTTAACTTAAATCGTATTTATTGAGAAATACATTAACTTCTATTTATTAAACAAAAGCACAGCGTGTGTACATATCGTTACTGTAAGTCGACGTGTAGAGGATGTGTTAGTATTTTTTTTCTTCGTGTATCTACAAGATGCGCGTGCGATTTTACTTCACGAGGAAAGATCGGCGAGTCCCGGAGTTTTCAAATTGAAAAAAAGGATTTGTGTCGCCTCCTCCGAGGCGAAATATCGGTGGCGTGGATGCGAGTCCGAGCGAACGCGGCAATGCACGCTTGAATATTGTTGCGCATTGTTTTTTTTCTTTTTTTTCTTTTTTTTTAACATAATTGACCATCGTTGTGTCTCGTCTGTTGTGTTTCCTTTGTTTCTTTTGTAACGTGTTGTGTACCGCAACTGGCATGTGTAGTTACTTTGAAATTGTCTTTTTTTCATAGAATTAAGTAGCTTAGAGTATTTAAACTGACCCTTTTTTTAATTTAATCCCCGTCCCGGTTTTTCACCCTCTCGCCTCCTTCTCGCGCGAGCGACACGTCGCTCTCGTATCCATCGACATTTTTATTGTGCATGCGTATGTGTGTATATATTATATATATATATATATATATAGTTTGTTGACTTCTGTATTACTTGACAAAAAGAATCAAGATGACGAAAGTAACGTAAGCGAGGAGCAAATAGATGTATGGAAAAACTCTGTAGTATCTATGATTCTCCGCGCGTTTACATGTGCAGAAAGTACAAATAATAATAATAATGATGATGATGACGATAACAATAATAAATAAGAATAATAATAATAATAATAACATCAACAACAACAACAACACGAGTCTGCGACCTGTGACAGGGTAACCATTGCAGTCCTGTTGCAGGGTTGCGTCCGTTCTGTAGGTTCCGGAGACTACGGGACGGATCCGACGAGATCACGTTTTAGCATTGTGTGTATAGAGATAATAATAATATTAATATAATACCGTTTACACAATTTCTCATAGAATACGCCTGCGATTGCTGCAGCTTTCAAATAGTTTAGTATTCTAGACACTTGTGTGTACATAGCATTTTTGTTAATTGTAAAATACTGTGATAATATTTATATATTTTTACGATTATACACACGCATACACACACACACACACACATGAATATATATATATATCCATCGTATACGAATATATAATCCCTGTACAAGATAATCACAGTATCACTCGTTCGAACTCGATCGCTTGATTCGACTTGGTCACTTTGCTGTCGATAGGCATATTTTCGTGCTCGGCATATCTACGTTATGTTTCACTATCCTTCGGGTCACAGGTAGGTATCTCTAAAAATTCCTTGCTTTGTTTTTTTTTTTTTTTTCTAAAATTGCCCAATGACACACGTATCTCGGATAAGTATATGTTTTTTACGAAGCTGTTGAAATAATGTAGAAAAAAAAAACATACATGCGTATTGGGATACGTGCAATTATTTCTACGCAGACTATCAACATGTCGCTGAGACAATTGTTCAATTTCTTAAAAAAAAAAACGATTATTTTATGTGACTGTAAAATTTATTGCTGATAATTGACGTTTCGTTAAATTTGTATACAGTTTATTTTTCAATATTTAAATTGAATCTCGATTGTTGTTCTCCGTTCTCGATGTGTGTACAGGCTCGTCGAATCTCGCAATGAAATATCTCGGGATTCCGAGCTTCTTCGGTAAAACGGAGATGTCAGAATCTTCTTTCGCGTTTCTCAGGCTCTCGAAACCGACATATACCTATTTTTGACAATCTGCTTCGGGATATATTTAGAGGTCCAAAAGAGCACATTCCACGCACAGCGTGTTAGGGATTTCCTTTATTTCTAATGGAATTGCTATGTAAGTTGCGTTGTCGCATATGGCGCATTCTTAAAAAAATAAAAAAATAAATAAATACGATACGATGGTCAATGTGTTCGATGGTGAAACAAACCGCGTGAGAAGCGCGCGCAATATAGAACGTAATTTCGATGATATGTCGATCAAAAAAAAAAAAAAGAAAAAAAAAGTCGAAGATCGAGAAAAAAGCGCCGTAACATCGAATCAAAACAACAGATGTATTATCGTTTATATTTTACTGTACGGACACACGTTGATATAATTTTTTTTAATGTACATTTGTTTTAGCATTATAGAAGGACGTTCGAATAAGCGAACTAATAAGCAAATATTACACAAGCATTGTATCTTAAAATACAAAACAATTGATGAGATTCGTTTCGGATATCCTCGTGATTTTATTTTGTGTTTCATTTCTTTCTTTTATTCGTCCGGAACTTTATGTAAACGAGAAGAGACATAAAAATGTAGCAAAAATATCTCGTTCTTTGCTACTTTCGAGAATAAAAGTTCAAGTAAGCGATCCTGACGACTGTATAATAAGAACGAGTGGACGGAGTGGGAAAGGAGTGAGGAAAGGGTAAGAAATGCAATTTTGCAAAAATTGACGAACAATGTTAAACGACACAAATCTCCGAGAAGTGTCTGTCCTTCCTTTCCAGATATGTACGTTATCCATTACACACTAAACAGTGATTTTTCCTCTCTCCATGATATGATCCTTTGTTCTAGTTTGTAAAACAAAAAGATGCTTTGATGAGACACTGACATTCATCCAAGTTTGGAAATCGATTCACGGGAATCTCTCATTAATTCTCTTGCGGACTTTCATATTTAAACTGATCCACTTCGCTGTGAGAAGAGCATCTTTGTTGGTTGTTGATGACGCATTCGCAGCGCTCACGTCACGTCGGATAATACGGAAATAAGCAGAACTTCCGGTACCGCAGGGTGGTTCGACGATTCACCAGACAGCGAATCGCAACCCCCGTCACCGAGAGGTCCGAACACGATAAGTCGCGATCCAATGGCGTAACGACGACCGCGTTTTCGCCGTAGTCGCGGACGAAGAGGGCACGTATCCAAGTGGATCACATCGCGCGCGCGAACGCGCGCACACACACGCACGCACGCACGCACTGGCGCGCGGGAGAAAGGGCAAAAACGAGAGAAAGAGAGACGGAAAGACGGAACTGGTTCGAAGACGTCCTGTAAGGGAAAGAGAGCGAAAGAGAGAAACAAGCGCACGCACGCACGCACGCACGCACGCACGCACGGAAGGTGGAAGCGGAGTTCCTTATACGGTCACCTTTGTCAAAGCCCAGTTGTCGCCATATACAGGCAATGTTCGCGATGGCAGACACTTATATAGAATCCGACTTAAGAGTCAGGAATGCGTTGCTTTTTGTCGCGCCTTCTCTACGCACGCATACGTACGCGTACGCGCGCGCGCGCGCGCGCACCCGCCTCGGGTAAACAGCGGGGTAGGAAAGGGGAGCGAATAATAAGTCGGAAGCGAGCGCACTGCGACCCGCCGGCGGCGAATAAGCATCGTCGCGGCGGAATCGCGCGGCTTTTCGAGCTTTCCAATTGGTACCGCCTCTCTCTCTCTCTCTCTCTCTTTCTCTCTCCAGTCTTGGTCCCTCGCGGACAATTCGAGCGCATCGCGGCGCGTCCCCGCAATTTGCCCGACCACACTCGATCAAAAGTTAATTAGCATAAACCGCGATGCGCGGTCTCGTTTGCGTCGTAAAGAACCACCTTCAACAATGGAGCGCGCTTAAGTACACACGTGTATTGTTTTCCGCTGAAAGTGTCGTAGAAATGAAAGGACGAAAATGGTAAACGAAGGTAAATATCATTATTATTTAAGTAACAAGAGAACGAAGTGCAGAACTCCAGAATCTGTGTAGAAACCAAAAAAAAAAAAAAAATCCCAATCGTTGTCGTTTCGAAGGACAACATGTAGATATTTCGCGGATGGAACAACTTCGTGTTGTATCACTCGAGACACAACTTGCGAAATTCATGACAGATTAAACGGACGGTGAACGAACGGTGATCCCGCATGAGCGCGCAAACGGCACCATTCGACTAGGGAGGAAGTGCCGAGGGGAGAAAGTTCCGCTCGCGGGATATGAGAAACGGCACCGGAGAGACGCGGCCAAGGGCCGCGAGTAAATTCGCGGGAATCTCTCTTCTCTGCGAGTGAACCGCGCGCACTCGCGCGAGTGAAGTCTGCGAGAGATGACCATATAAGGAGCGCGAACAAGCCGGCGCATCTCTGTCCGCTAGGTAGGTAGGTAGGTAGGTAGGTAGATAGGTAGGTAGGTAGGTAGATAGGTAGGTAGGTTGGTAGGTAGGTAGGTTGGTAGATAGATAGGTGGGTACGTACGTACGCGTTCGTACGTAGGTAGATAGCTAGATAGATAGGTAAGTAAGTGTGTAGATAGGTAGGGGTATGTATGTTTGTGTATGTACATATGTGGATATTTATGTATGTATATAAGTGAATGTGTATCTATGTATTTATGCATGTAAGCACGCACACACGAACGCATGTACGATTGGCGGGTACGCTTATTGTTGTTGTTCCGACTGTTGTTCGGCTCGATTCTTCGCTACAAAAAAACAAAAAAAAAAAAATCGCGTACTTGCTCGCGCCTTATCACGTCCCATCTCGTTCCCCTCTTCTGACGATTCGGCATATTTCTCTGGAGCATTTTTAACCAGATGTCATTTTGTTTTTTTCTTTTCGTTTCATTTCAGGAGGAAGGTGGGTCGCCCAGATCCGACGTTTGCGCGAACGAAAGCGACGACGACACGAGTGACGGCGACACGAAGGATCCTCTCAAGATTAATCATTCGGGTGAGTCTCGCGAACGGCTGTTCGTCGGAAAACTGTGCGAAAACCGGATCAGAATTCGAGCAACCTGCTTGTCGTCGTCTTCCCTCTTGGAATTTTACTGCTTTGTCGATCAAAACTTGACGAATTACTCATCACTGAGCGAGCGCGATTATTGGAGTCAAAACGCGCGCGCGCGCGCGCGAGATTGACGATTAAACAAAGCGGAGAAACTCAAAAATTCCCAAATCACCGACGTCGTTATTCGCGCCGCCCCCGTCCGCCGTTATTCGCACGCTGAGCACATCGTCTAATTGTTCATCGATACCATTTGCGTCGCGCTTGACCTCATCGCGCGCCTGATAATAAACAGCTGGTCGCGAGCACGAGTGAGCGAGTGAGCAAATGGACAGGTAAACACACGTATATATGCGTACACGGTAGGAGGCGGTGAGGAAGAAGAGACGGCGAAAGAGAGAGCAAAACGTGAGAAAGGAGGGAGAGAAACATTGGTAAGACAGTGGACGGAAGAAGTAGCGAGATATACAGAAAGAGAGAGGGAGTTGAGAAAGAGAGAGAGAGAGAGAGAGACAGAAGGGGAAGGGACGTTTAAAATGCGAAAGGCGTGCGAGGAGAGCGATGACGGGGTTATCCGTGTAGGGAGTCCGTAAAGGAGTCGCGCGCGGTCGGCGATGACCAAACTTAGACGGCAACCGCGCTGCCTAACTGGGAAGTAGGATCCGGTCAAAAGCCCGCTCGCTCGTCTCCGCTTTGCGCAACCACGATGCAGGTGTACACATAAATATCGATGCTAATGTGTCGCGTGGATGCCATTCCACCGAGAGGCCGCTATCGATCGAGAGAGCCTGCGCTTTTTTTTTCTTCTTCCCCGTTCCCCTCCCCCGCGAAAGAGCGAGCGAGCGAGCGAGCAACTCGCCGCCTCCGGCCAACTTCGAAACGCGCTCCGGATCTCCGTCGCGAATTTCGAACGATAAGACCGCTGGTCATTACCGGTTTCCCCCCGCGCGTTCCACGAACGCGCGCGACGATGATATGTATGTGCCTCTGCGGTGCAACGAAGGCAAAAAAATTCGTCATTCCGACGAAGGATAAATATGCGCGCCGTGTGCGCACGCTGAATTGTATTAATTAAGACCGTTTGTCCGACTGGTTGTATGATTAGCGCACGCGAGAGAAGAATATCCTTGTAATTCGACGCGTTCGCTTGGTTCCGAGAGGAATTTACCGAATGTGTTCTACTAAACAAATTTCACGTGCTAAATACAGATTATCCTTGCTGGACCTGGACTTACGCATTTGCGATCGGCGTGCGCGACATCAATTGTTCTCGAGAAACAACAGCTTCCTCTAGTTTTCTGGGGGTTTTTTTTTTTTGTCATTTTACGTAGAAATCGTTTTTCGCATTTCGTACACGTGACTAGCACGACAATGGCAAACCTATATCATAAAGAAAAATATTTTCTTCTACTTTAGTAAGCGAGATGTGTGAGATCCGATCTCCTCACGATTGTCTTGCGACAATAAATACCTCCCCAAGCGCGCGCCAATCGTCGAATTTATTTGATTGATACGCTTCAAATTTTTCTTTAATTTCGTAGGAAATGTGCCTTCGTTCTCTGCAGGAATCATGTACCAGATGCCGCAGAGTGTCATTTATTCGCCCAGTCCAGGGGTTTTGCTCGGCATAGGAGGACAAAACGGACAACCGGTGCAAATGTCTCAAGACGGAGGTAGGTCTTTCTCTCTGTTGCCGCCGCCGCCGCCGCCGCCGCCGTTGCGAAGAACGCATCGGGAGTTTTGCGCAATTGTCGCACGCGTTTCGAAATGTCCTCACGCGAAGGATTTGCCAGAAGGACAGAACTTAGCTTAGAATTGCGGGCACCACACCGCAAACTCGCGCGATGAGCTCGTTAAAAATCTCACTCTCCCGTTCTCATCTCGCCTGAATCATCGGCAACATTCCCGGAAGATAATTGCCGAGCGCGTGAGATTATGACTAATAATTTTGCATAAACACAAACTGGTCTGGTCGTGGTGACGGCCTACGGTGTGGATATGAATATACCTTTTTTTACATGTCCGAGATTACGAAATTCTGAATGTTTATTTGCACAAGTTTAAATTTCTTTAAAAACAAAAAAACAATTTAATTTCAACAAATATCTAACGGGTCTCGAATCGATCTAGCCACCGCCAATGAAAAAGACTGATAGAGGACAACAAGATTAGAGAAACGGAAAGAAAACAGCAGCGTTTCCGCGTTTGTGTCTCATTTGTCTTTCCCTTGCGATTGCTTTGTAGGTACATCGGTGACAAACTCGTCGCAGTCGAACCAGCCGTTCATCACGATACCGCTGAACGTCGCGATGAGCGCCGGACTGTCTCTACCGGTGACCTCCAAGAAGACTTCCAAGTCGCCCACGACGACGACGACGACGACGAACACAACCACGGCCGCGTTGTCCACCTGCGGCGATCTGCCCTCCGACCTGAGCAAGGATCGGGAGTGACGCGAGAAAAGTTTTCCGTCGACGGATGAAAGTAGTTGATCAGACTTCCTTCGTTGCGTCGCGCGTAGAAACGAATTACGGAAACAAAAAAAAACTCGCGGATTTCTCGCACGGCGGATCCTCATGAACTTTGTGATACCTCCACGTGTCCGGATAAATAAATGTCGAGTGAAGTTCTTGATTGCAACTATATGAGCCTCACCATGTGAAATCGCAATTCTCTCCTTTAGTCGCGAGAGAAACCGTATACGGAATCGTAACGACTAGAATCGTAACAAGAATTTGATAATAAGAACCACAATACTCACACATCGTTCATTTGAATATGGAACTACGTTTGCGATGCGAATGGCGCTTTTCGTGGATTTCTGAAACTAATCGATTAAGTCGAACGACGCTGGAAAAAAATTATTTTATCGTGACGTCTACCGTAACTGCAAACTTGTCAATTGCGAATTGTAATTTGAGAATTATTCTTGACATCCTCCTACCGGCCCGGAGGTATCGGCAAACGAACCACTTAGTCAATTACATATTCGAATAATCCAATCGGTCATTTTGTATTTCTCTTGCGTGCAAACATACGTCGGCGACATCCGCCGCTCTCTCGTGCGCTTTCTGTCACAATACTTCTAACCAGAGTCACACTCACCCTTAGTAGAAACAAAAAGTACCGTATTCAATAGAGCGTGTATTCTCCGAGAATGCTCACTGCCAATTGTAAGACTGACATTGCACACGAACACAATATTCGTCTTGCTTAATCTTTTGTCCAAAATAATTCCGATGATTTTAGACTTTGGTGTTACGCGTTCTATGATCTTATTAATCTTGAATTGTTTTTTTTTTTTGACACCTTAAAAGTGGATCTGAGCATCTTATTTGATTTAAAAAATTGCGAAAAGCATCTTTCAATGAAAGAGACGAAACAGAGAAAGACAATGGATTATATGTGGCCCGATAACACAAAGAGAGAGTTTTCGAAATGTCTCGGCATTGATTTTTACGATTGAAAATGATCTCACAAAATCTTTCTATCGTTCGGAAACAACAAATTTAAGTAAGGTCACATTTTGTGAAAAATTATCGCGGAACATTTGACGTCCGTTTTTCGATAGAAAAAACTCGCAAAAGATTAAGCGTCGTCGAATTATTTTGGCATCCTGAATGATCGATTTGTCTCTTATAGTCTTTGCCACTTTGTGTTAAAAATATATTGTCAGAAATAACGCAATGAAATAATCGACAAAATCGCGCGTCAACAATTTTCACCGACGGTACTGCGCCGATATGCCAAGTTTGACGTATTGAAAATATATATACATATATAAAATATTTATCAGATTGTCAAGATGTCGTTGTTCAGTGAACTCTGTGCGTGACAACAATTTTCAACGTGACACATTGAGCGTTCTGCCAGCGATTAATGCCAATTTAGATTTGTTAGATCGTAGTGGATTATATATATTGACAATGACATCCGACTTGTGAAAGAAGCAACGTACGTGGGGCGATTGATAAGTATCCGGAAACGGCGCACATGTAGCAATACAACATTTATGACATCACATTGCCGTTGTCAAGTTTCATCCTTTTAGAGGAACAAATGCCAAAACGCGCTGGCTCATTATCGTTACAACTGTGAATACCGTCGCTATCTGTGCGTCGTTTCGGGATATTTATCAATTTTCAATCGTCTCTCGTGTCATGTTTCGTCATTATGCAGAACTAAACTTGCGTAAAACACACAGAACAATAAAACCTCGAGAGATACAAAGTAGACAAAAAGATGATCGCAACCTAATGAGAATTACAAGAATTGTGTTCGCGCGATTGTTCTTTCGCCGATACGCGTGATCTCTCATGTGTAAAGGATCACAACTTGTACAGAACGTTATCGGCGACTCTGTTAAGCGCCACGGGCGACAGTCGCGACGAGTCTACGCAAACTCGTAGGATAGGAATCGTTAATGCCAAAATGTGCAATATTGAGAATTTTTCAAATCGAATTACAGTTGTTATCGTTTGTTGGGCTTCAGCGTAATGTGTATCCAAATATAATGGTATGGATAAAATAAAAAGAAGGATTCGTTGTTCTTGATTGTACTTATTGTTTTTACTTAAGTGATTCTTCGCGTTATCGATAAATTTTTGTAAGACAATGACAAAAACCAATTGTTGTTCTTTTTATCTTTATTCATACTACGATATACTTCGTTGTTTGTAATGGGTGCTTCGCGGCCGCAGTTTTTCTGTGTATGTTTAGGTGTGTTTGATTCTGTTTTTTTTTTCTTTCTTAATAATACTGCGATAGTTTGCAATATGAAGCGTTTGTTGAGAAGGTTTCTATCTAATCGAAGGCGCATACTAGTAACCTACCTACGAAAATCTTTAGCCGTCAAATAGAGAGGAAAAAACAACTTGTGTAATGAGTCGTGCAAAAAAAAAAGTTTAAAAAAAACAAAAAAAAAAGATTTACGCTTCTGATTAACTATTAAATATTCAAAGAATTAATGTAACCCAAGAGACAAACATATATAACGGCTCATGGTCGTGAATATTAACCATCATTTGTCTATGTACAAAGGATGTGTGTAAGAGGGCGCGTGCGAAAGCGAGAAATCCCACGAAAGACGAGCAATAACGCGTGTATATTACGTTTTACTTTGTCTATTTTATATATAAATATATATGTAGATGCATACATATATATATATGTACACACATACACGTGTATATCCTAATTTTTTTATTACTTCTGAAAATACTGCTGCGTGAAGAGTGTTTGTAACAAATGCCGTATATATATATATATACATAAATATATATATATATATATAAAGAATGAAGAACAAAAATATATAAAATCCACGTTACATTCTGTTTTCCATGTTTTTTTTTACATCAAATCTCTAATACAATTAATTTAAAGTTCTAAAAAGTACGTTAAAATTTACATAATTTATAATTAGTGATATAAAATTAATGATATGATCATATATATAATGTAATGCGTACACACAACACACGTTTATTTTTCTTATCTCGTTATCTTTGTGCGATAATTCATTATCTCTCTCCTGTGTGATTCAAAAAATAAACAAATCTTGCAAAACACAAAGTCCGCGATTCTGTTTCGCACAGTGGCGATTGGCCAACCTGGGTAGTGAGCGCAGTAATGGTACCGTCATGGCGACGTTGCCGCCGCGGAAAAATCCGACTCCCACGAAAATTTTGAAACAACATTTGACACCTTTGCAAACGCTTCTGCAGCTCGGCTTCCCGAAACATCGCGCGTACGTATGACTTCGCTACGCAAAACCTCGCTCGCTTGTCGTTCGACACGGCGCATTCGCGCGACGCGTATGGCTCGTTCACTGTAAACAAACAGCTGTCAAATGTGGCCTTGAACGACTCTCAGCAACTTCGCGTTACTTTTCACACTCGAGTCAAGTTTACATCTCGAAGTTCTCGATTTAAAAAATTTGCGTTACTCTTTTAAATAAATGACATTTTTCTATATCGTTGAAAGCGTCATATCGCAAAAGTGTTGTAACAAACATTTTCTTGAAATCTCTCATATGCTGTTTTTTTTCTGTTTGAAAAAATTATAAAGATTACTTACAATAATTTGAAATTTCCGACACGTTTGATATTAACGATGAAACGCTTTCCTCAGGGAAAAGGCATTAGCCGCAACTGGACATCGTGGTGTACAGTTGGCATCAGACTGGCTACTGGCTCATGTGAGAGATCCGACTCTGGATTCTCACACACAGCGACAGTATGTTCTATATGTTTGTCCCACCGGACCTCTGGCTGAACAGCTGGAATTGTTCTGGACAGAAAGTAAAAATCTAGGATGGAACGGCGCTCACAACTTTACACCGCACATTACCCTTGTCTCTTTTTTCAATGTAAGACATTTAATTTTACTGCAATTTTAAATGTCTTATATAACAATTTTAAATTTGCGTCTAAAGACACGAAGATACTGTTCTCAGCAAGAAAAAATTTGTAGGCTCCCGATGAGTTTACCGAGGAATTAGCAAATGCTGTTGAGAGCGTGGTTCAGCAAGACGGATTGCATGAACAAATTGAGCTAGAAACATACGTGTCGCCTAATTTTATGGGCCTCTTTGTCAAGGATATAAATGCAGATTGGCTGAAGAACATTGCTGTGCGTTACGTCAATAAAATCGCCGCTCTAGGTATCACTGCCGAACCGCAGGTGAAGTCTCTGCATCTCACACTGGCTTATCAGTTCCCTGGCAACTCGTTTCAATCCCTTCGCTCGATGGTCGAGAAGTTGGGACCAAACACGCCTGCCAACTGGGAGCTGCGATTATATTCCAGGGACTCGAGACTGCAGAACTTGCACGTGCACAAAGTGACACACGTCCATGTACCTCGAGAACACGACGAATTAGAATTAAGAGTAGGAGATTACATCTACTTACCGGAGGGAGCGTGTAGCGCCTCAACAGACGGTTGGGTGGAGGGCATTTCCTGGCTGACCGGCATATCCGGTCACTTGCCATTAAATCATACCAAAAGAACCGCCGAGTCGGACTCATGGACGTTGCACGTCACCGTTCCGATTACCGACAATAAATGGGATAGCACGGAAGAGGAGGAAATCCCAAAAGTCAGGAGACCGCCACCGGTCTTGTCTCCGAGCGATTCTGTCGACGTACCCGACGGCGTTGTTACCACCGAGGAGCCGGTAATCGCTTATGAAAAAAAATTATATATTTTGTGTAGATTCTTTATACCGACTTATAATCTATCGATTTCAAACAGATGACAGCATCGGAAGCGCCCGCAACACCGTGTCGAGAGATTTTCATATGTCGACACGGCGAAAGAGTAGACTTCACCTTCGGCTCGTGGATCCCGTATTCCTTCGAGTTAAATGGCTCTTACATACGTCGTGACTTGAACATGCCCAAAGAAATACCGTCGAGAAGTATCCAGGATTTTCAGAATGATACTCCGCTGACCACCGTGGGCGAGATGCAGGCGAATCTGGTAGGTGAGGCCATGAATTCGTCCGGTATCAGGATAGACGTTGCCTTCACGTCGCCCTCGTTGCGTTGCGTGCAGACGCTGGCTCACATTTTGAAAGGACTCAAGTCCGACATTCCGATAAAGGTAGAGCCGGGTCTGATAGAGTGGTTGGCGTGGTATCCGAACGGTATACCCGCCTGGATGAGTCCCGACGAGTTGATAAAAGCGGGATTCAACGTGGACGTTGATTACAATCCGATCGTGAAGGCTAAAGAACTCCCGCTGAAAGAGAACGCCGCGCAGTATTACGAGCGCAGTCACGAGTTAATAAAGAAAATCATTGAGAGTACAGTTGGAAATATATTAATAGTGGCGCACGCGGCTTCTTTGGCGGCGTGCACCAAGCAGCTGACCGGCGGCAGGATTCCCCCGGCTGCTGAAGTCACTAGATTAGTTCAAAGGGTACCTTATCTGGCGTGCTTGACCGTGCGTCAGGGCATCGACGGCTGGCAGTTGCATCCTCCCCCTTTCCCACCGATCACTCACACCAGCAACTGCAGATTCGACTGGAAGGTTTTGATGTAGTGAACACGTTGCGCGCGTGTAATTTTGCTGAGGAAGGTAGATGTTTCCCTCTACAAAGCCTATGTAAAAGACTGTTACATAATCGTAAATTTTTATGTGCGACTTTATTCAATGTCTATTACGACATTGAACCAACAAAATTCAACGAAAAATCAATCTTCTCAAGTGATAATATCTTTAAGACTTCTGGATAATCGCGCGATTTCTCGCTTCCGACGTCGTGATTCAATATACATACGGCTATAAACGTATCCAGGAATCTTAACATAAACAAAAATATATATACGATAAATGTTGATCAATCGCTCGATTGTTAAATAATATTCTCTCAGAGAACACAACCGATACGGGTAATGAAATTAATTATTTTATTTCTTAATTCTTATAAATATATAAATGTGCATATATGCACGCACACACAGAGAGATACACACAAACATACTAGCCAAAATTACGTTATTGTTGGTATTTTCTGCTATATCGATTTTGTGTGTGCGTACATATATACAAATGTATGTGCATTGACCTATATTGTATCGATCCGCGAGAGAGAAAGAAAATTTTCTTCTTAGTTTTGCGCCGTTCTTCTTTTCAAGCTGAAGCGAAAAATTGGCGCGTAGAAAAATTTTCTTCCTGTCACGGAACGATTAGTTTGCGTAGTGCGTTAAAAATGTGTATATGTACGTGTTATATTTTAATGTATTGAACGAGAGAACACAACAAACGTACTAGTCTTGATTGGACACATTTTCTTGCCGAGCTTAAATACATACAAATATGTACGTATATATTATGTAATAGATATATGTATTATTTATGTAATACATATATACAATGTATTATTTATATAATATATATATATACATATATTACGTAAAAAGTTTTTAAAAATGTATTTAATATATTCTAAAGTGCGTGATGGGTACGCGCGTATACGCGGATAGCGCATTATTTTCTAATCAATGTTTATATATCGTCCGTTGTATTTTACCTTAGAGACGTGTAAAGTTACGGCAGAAGCGCCAGATAATTCAAAAGATGCGCAATCGTTCACAATTTTATCTACATTGATAGAAAAATATTCGATATATAGAATTTTATTACGACACTTACGTAAAAGAGCTTTACCTTCATCACTTGATATGAATCTATAGTCTTCTAGACGTATGTCAATTAAATGTGCTTAGAGTAAAACATATATAATTTATAAAAATCGTTATATCGAGAGGGAGATATGTGTGTGTTATCTTTTTGCAGAAAATAAAATTTATATATGCATAAATACCTTCCGATGTAAAATACCGTTTGATATATATTCTCAGAGTTATTTATAAACAAATATGTCCCGCTTTTATCGAATTGAAAGTTTCAACTGGTGTGCGAACAGGAATAAAGAAATATATTTTGCATATATGTATTGTATGTATACGTGTATAAAGAATATAGATGCAGTATTTATTAAATGTAATATTATCTAACACTTGTCTCTCTTTGCAAAGGTACAAATATGCAAGGTAAAAATTTTTATCTACATAATCGTTCATTATTTTGTACATTGCACTCAATTTATTCGCGAATCACGGGACATGAAAGTTACAATGGAGGATTTTCCTTTTCGTATACCGTTGCTCTTCAGCTGCCAGCAACCGCTCTCTTAACATCTAATCGTCGAAGTAGTAAGACAAAATATGTGACATCTTTTATCAAATGTGTTTAAAGACATGTGAGAGTCAAGGTATTAAGATTATTGCACACAAGAAAAAAATCTTTTTTTCTAACTTCTCGTTCACTGTTTTTTGAATAAATTTGGGTGCAATGTACAAGGATATAGTAGGTTTTCGCACTACGGCGATTGTTTGGCACGGTTAGGTTCCGAGGGAAAGAGAAATCTCACCAAGGACCTCTCCGCTCCACAACGACATACAGGTCTTAATGTGAAAACCTATTGCACAATTTATAGCGCCACCGTGAACACATGAGCTTCGCACTTAAGTATTCAGAAACCTTAATCGTTAAGCTGAAGGAATGTGGCCACCTTCCTTCAACTTGGCAATTAAAGTGTCCACATCCGGCAGAATGGCACCTGCCTCTCTCACGGGTGGATCTTCCACCGAGATTATTTTAATTCTCGGCGTTAAGTCCACACCGAGATCCTTCGGACTGATCTTCTTTATAGGTTTTTTCTTCGCCTTCATGATGTTCGGCAGAGTCGCGTAGCGCGGCTCATTCAGACGAAGATCAGCGCTCAGAACCGCGGGAGTCTTCATTTTGACGACCTCCAACCCACCGTCAATTTCACGTGTAACGGTCAATTCACCGTTGTTATTTTCAACCTGAAACACATCACAAAAATAACAATGAAAAAAATAATATGCGCAATGTAGTGAAATGACAAGTTTGCTCGTATGTTACTTTGCTGCAAAATGTTCCAGATGGCCAATCCAAAACTCCGGCAGTCATTTGTGCTGTGTGATTATTGTCGTCGTCAATTGCTTGTTTTCCTGAAACACAATAATACACCAAGTTTTGAGAAAAAATAAAGTTTAACAATTTCAAATACCCAGGTATGTCAAAATCAACCATCAGAAATTATCTACTGTTAATCACACATCTAGTATCTATATGAGATAAGAATAAACGTTTACCTAATATTATTAAATCTACTTTCTCCTCCTGCGCTATCTTAGCCAGTATTTTTGAGACATGCACAGGCTGCAACGTCTGATACTCGGGACCAGGCACATCCACATGAATTCCACGATCCGCACCCATTGCCAGTGCCGTCCTGAGCACATCCTGAGATTGCGACGGTCCGCAACTGACCGCGATCACCTCCTGGGCTATTTTCTTTTCCTTCATTCTCACAGCCTCTTCTATGGCTATTTCATCAAAAGGGTTCATCGAATGTTTGATTCCATCCGTAACTACGCCAGACTTATCTGGCTTGACACGAATCTGTACGAAGAATGTACATAAAAAAATATATAAAACACTCTCTTAACATTTTATATACTATTTTATATTATTTTTGTTACCTTTACTGCATAATCGATTACTCGTTTTACACCGACAAGTACCCGTGCCATTCTTCTTTTTTTTATTTCTGCGAAAAAAAAAATATTATATCTAAAGAATCTTATTCAGCGCGAAAACAGCAAAATGAAAGATTGCTCGCTCCTATCTTGTTCAATCACTTTAATCGATATCAATAAAAAAAATTGATATGGAGACTTTCGTAAGATGTAAACAAAGTCCAAAGGGTAAACATAAAGGCATAACAAACACAGATGGGGAACTTGAGATTACAGTTTAAGTTGCGAAATACAGCTGACGCTAGTGTCAGAAAGAAGTAGTGGGGGATTGATTAATCAGAATTTTTGTCTGTGTTGTTGCTCGTTTTCATGAAATACGTGAGTCATATGCGCATTAAAGTTTTTGACCGGTACGAATTTAAATCGCTTTCGGAGCATCTAATGACGTCATCAAGTTGGCAGAATGTTGACCAATCGTATTGTTTGATTTTTGTTTAAAGTGACGTCACTGATCATTCCGGGAGCGATTCACCTGCACCTCGTCGAAAACGTTGCACCTTCCGACATATTCTAACCTGCAAAAGTCACGTTTGACACGATATAGCAAATCCAAACAATATATCACTGCGCGAAAGTTTTATTGTTTATCTCAATGTTTTGAAAATATCCACGACAGTTTTTACTGGAGTTAGCGGTTTATTACGTGTCTAATTTTTCAAACGCTCTCGCAACACGTTGCAACAACAGACCAAACAAGTTGCAAGATTGGTTTTGTTAAATAAACATGCCTGCTCCGTGTAACGATATTATCGAGGACATCGAGGATTTGATCGCCTCGCAGGACTTAACGCCGAAGGAGCGATACAGCTCCAGGAAGCGTGTCATGATACGGCCAAAACGAAAACAAGAACCATATGAGGCGCCGCAACCGACTGTTCTGTCGAGCATAATACCCGGCACACAGACGATCTACGTGAAGACGTGGGGTTGTACACACAACACCTCGGACGCCGAGTACATGAGCGGACTGTTGGCGGCATACGGTTACAATCTGTCTACTGACAAACACAAGGCTGATCTTTGGTTGTTGAATTCGTGCACTGTTAAAAGTCCTGCGGAGAGTCAGTTCAGAAATGAGATCGAGCATGGAAAGAAGATGGGAAAACACATTGTGGTTGCAGGGTATTTATTAAGTAAATGATATTATATGCGAATATAGGAAATATATATATAAAAATTGAGACATACTTATCAAAAATCAAATACATTTAATATCTCAGAATAGTCTCTACTATTTTAAACAGACATTACATTTGTATTTCTTTTAGATGTGTGCCACAAGGAGCTCCAAAATCTTCCTTCCTTCAGGGACTGAGTATAATTGGAGTGCAACAAATTGATCGAGTGGTCGAAGTTGTGGAAGAAACCCTGAAAGGACACACAGTCAGACTTTTGCATCAGAAGAAGATGTTTGGCAAGAAGTTAGGTGGTGCTATGCTGAGTCTTCCAAAAGTGCGGCGAAATCCGCTTATCGAAATTATAGCCATCAACACTGGCTGCCTTAATCAGTGTACTTACTGTAAGACAAAACACGCCCGGGGAGACCTGGGCAGTTATCTGCCAGAGGAGATAGTGGACCGAGCCAAGCAGGCTTTTGAGGAAGGCGTGTGCGAGTTATGGCTCACGTCGGAGGACACGGGCGCTTACGGCTTAGACATCGGTACCAATTTGCCGAAACTGTTGTGGCAACTGGTGGAGGTGATCCCTGAAGGTTGCATGATGCGCGTTGGCATGACCAATCCTCCTTACATTCTGCAGCACTTGGACGAGATGGCCAAGATCCTGCGACATCCCAGGGTCTATAGTTTCTTGCATATTCCGGTGCAGTCGGGCAGTGACCAGGTGTTGTCGGACATGAAGCGAGAGTATACGCGAGCCGAGTTCGAGTACGTGGTGGACGTTCTGAGCGAGCAGGTGCCAGGTCTGACCGTCGCCACTGATATCATCTGCGGCTTCCCGACAGAAACGGAGGCGGACTTTGAGGAAACAATGACGCTCTGCCAGAAGTACCAGTTCCCGAGTCTCTTCATCAATCAATTCTTCTCACGGCCCGGCACGCCCGCCGCCAGAATGCCGAAGGTGCCCGCGCAGGAAGTAAAGAAAAGAACCAAGAGGTTGTGGGAGTTCTTCCACTCTTACGAACCGTTCTCTTACGTTCAGAAAATAGGCCTGGTGGAGAAGGTGTTGGTGACAGAGGTGTCGCACGACAAAAAGTACTACGTGGGTCACAACAAGTTCTACGAACAGATATTGATCCCCATGAAGGAAAAGTACATGGGAAAAATGATCAATGTGAGAATTTTGGGCGCGACGAAATTTTCCATGATGGGAGAACCGATTGACGAAGGTGTGTCTCCGGCATTGAGGCCTCCCTTATTACAAGGTACTGTCTCAGGAATACCACGGGAAACAAAACTTTTGAAATACACTTTCCTGATGATTATACCGATATTCGCTGTAATATGTAGGATATTATGGATATTTCTGACGTAGAAATATAGAAAAATGTAGAATTTATAATCTTTGAGACTACATGTGGAAGGGAGGGAAACGTTTATACATACTAGACTGTACAGCAAAATAAATACATGGAATTCTACATCCTCCGTGACATAAATACATTATTAATAAATAAATATTTATTTAATATAAAATACATACACACATGAGTCTCTTACTATTAACGTTGTCAGTTTGGTGTATCGGTACATATAACTGTGGATAAAAAAACCAAAGATCAAGATTTATGCAGAAAAAAATAATTATATTTAATTGATAGTACAAAAAAAACTATAACCCTGAGCGGGCTTACAAAACGTTTCAATTTTTTAATTCACTGGAAACAGTTTTTAAACATTTCTCTTACAAGACAATCCTTTTCTAAAATCATTGTCTAACGCAAAATTGAATTTCTTCAAAAAAGAGATAAATACATACAGAAAAAAAAAAAGAAAAGTATTGAGCATTTTCGTGCATTTTTTGTGACACAGTATATATAAAATATATAAAATCTTCAAGAGAAATTATTATAATTTCCTTATGTGCTAATTGTATTACATTTAAAATAGTGTTTATTCTTTCATATATAAAAATATCAAAATTTCTCTTATTGCATATTAACGACGCACTTTATTTGGTATCACTTTCATGTTTCTATCTTTTTTTTTTTTTTTTTAATAGTAGCTCAGACTGTGTGAAACATGCAACGAAATTCTCGCCAGAATATCTTCTGAGTATTAAATCTATGAATAAACATTTTTGTGTATATTCAGAGATATCGAAAATCAGAATACTTATATAAGCAAAATCATTGGGACAAGTAAGGACCGCATTCATACAGTTCCATGTCCGTGCCATATTTTGATTGAGGCAACAAACAAAATTTGTTACCATGTTTTTAAATGTAACAACTTGTACATTACGTGCCCGTTTTTTCGTTTGTGCCTACACTATCAATTTCTAACTTCCGATATTTTTTCTACAGATTTTTCGGAAATCGTAATATTCTTTCTGTTCTTAGAAGAATAATAAGCGCAATTTTTATAATGCAGCATAATAATTATACTACACAATACGTTAAAAAATTTCAAATTTTAAATTTTTGTTTGTCAACAATTAATTCCTCATAAATATTATAAATTCTCCTTTTTTTCTCACAATCTTTTTATTCTTTCTTTTTCTAAATCTTCCTCTTCTTCATCTATTATTTGCCAATTCTTCCGTAAAAAATGACATTTTGATGTGAACGTGTTACTAAACTCATACGGGATTCTATAAATTCACACTGCCAGTTTTTCTGAACATATCATCGGTTGCAAACCGACTAGGTATATGTGGATTCAACATCAAACGTTCGAAGTTCGTACACGGCACGCACACGGAACAATATAAATAGGCCCGATTACTCTTCGATTGTACTAATCTGTGCAAATTGCGATATCGTGTATTGAATTTAAAATGCAATTTGGTTTTTTTTAAATTAAAACGTTACATTAACACGCAGTGTTATTTTAGTGATGCAGACAAAGCTGTGTGTAAAACGATGTAGGTATAATTTGAGCGTGTCGTTAAATTATGAAATAACGTAGAATAACAATAGTCGAGTCCTCCAACTAAAATATCAAATAACGATTTTGGTTTAGGTAACGATAAAAAATACAATAATATCCAATATAAATAATTTAAAACATTACAATACGCGAGTATACTTAGTATGAAAAGGAATCGATCATTTTGGATGATCCGATAGTAAGAGGATTTTAAATTTGATAAATATCGAAATTTTTTTCTCGGATCGATCTCTGTCGAAAAGGCAGGCACTGAGGTGTTGCTACATACATAGTTGGCGAAAAACTTCCCCTGAATTGATGTCTTTAAAAATCTCAGATACATTACGCTCGCGTTTAAATTTGCGCACATCGCGAGCGTGTGAGAGCAAGTATCTACTAAATATCTTCTCACTATATGATTGACGTCGTGCTCACAGTCTACATCTGTTTTAGAGAGCGTAAGAGAGCTGACTTATCAAACACCAAATGCATTTTTATATAGGAATACGTAGTACAAACAAAGTATCGATAAAATAGGAGACACAGTCTCGCGGCTGTATAAATATAAAACACGAAGAATAATTTATTATATCGTTACGCTCTCAATTATTAACTGGTAAAATAGTTCTGTCGCACTTCTGTCGCGCGGAGCGATCGTCTGAACGTTCGTGGTGAGCTCACCGGTGCGATAGCGCGCGTTCTGCGTAGCGAACGGAATTGAGACTGAGACGGTATAAGTATTTTTAATTGTGTCGTTAAAACTTGTTATTTATGCAAGAAATTTATATCAGAGTGAGAACTAGTCTCACTCTTATTTGTTTTTGTGAACAAATATCGCTGACTCATGTATAAGCGTATAAACGTACAAACCATTATACATATGTATATTTCTTTCTCTCTCACACATGTTTAACATTGTCGTGAAATAACAATTTTACATTTTGCGCGAATTAAATAAATCACGTCTTGAATTGAGTATTTATTTTATTTAGAAATAATTATAAAATTATTTATAGAAATAATAATAAAATTGCTAAAAATTACATTTACAGACAGTCTTTTTTTTTTTTCGCATATACACCGGTACGGAATATAAAATACAACGACTGAACGTTCCGTTGACAATCACGAAAGTTCAGAGTGAAACTTTGAATTAAAAAAAACAAACAAAAACGCACACGCAAATGAACAACAGAAAGGAAAATATGGCACCCTGTGTCGAGGGTTTCGCTCGAGGACGACGACAAGCAAGCTCGATCTTCTTTCCTCGTTATTATGACAGCTTCGAAAATATGGCAATTATGGCGCGAACTTAATCATGGCACAAAGGACTCGAGGGGAAATCGATTTACAGTCGCCGTAAGTTCCGTTTGCTCTGTCTCGAGCCGACGATCAAACGCCTGTTATTGCGTTTCGTCGGGGTGGCCAGCAGAGGCGTTTTGCACGGACCCGTGTGAGGCCTCGACGAGCAGGAGACGCAGAACTCGATGGAGCAACCCTGCCTGGAGCAAGTGCCCACGTTCTTCTCACTGTCCACGTAACATGGAAACGAGCATCTCGGACATGGCAACAGGTACTCGCCGTTTGCGAGCGTACGACTAGCCTGTAAAGAGAAATTAGTTGTTAATAGTCAAAAAAATAAAAATATTAGTTTGTATTAAAATGTTGCTTAAATTACAAAGCAATAAAAAGCGACTCTGCTGTCTCTGTAATTAATCCTAATTCTTTGGATCTTTTTTTTATCCAACATTTTTCAAAACTCTTCAAATCATTAAAACTAAATTATGTAAAACTGTTTTTCTATTAAACAACATATTAATAGACACTTGAAAAATGTCGGAATTTTTGTAATTTTTTAAATATCTTAAAATCGAATGAAATCAGCTAACTTTTAAGATTAAAACCGGTTCAGGATTAGAGTTAACATATCATCACTGTGTGACAACGAGAGGTACATTACGTAAATATAATATTGCGTGATGAAATGCACAAACAACACAATGTACAAAGTGTGCTTTATATCTACGTAGGAATTTTGCAGTGCCGTTAGTACGATTATATCCGACAGCAGCCGATACATTTGAACCGTCTTTCTAAGAACTTTGATAACTAACCCTATCAGGTAACTTTCGCATTAAAGATTTGCACGGAGATGGGTGATTAAAGAAACGCTGCGTACGCTTTTTGATCTCCGTTAGCTTCCACCGATCCCCCACAAAGTGCGTGCGTATGTTAAAACTTATAAATGTTAATAAAAGAACAAAATTATTATTTAAAAAAACACTTTTGAAACATACGAAAAACATCAACATATTTATAAAATTTAATAATTAAAAAACTCGATAAACATTTTTTGTCTTTTTCCGCGAATTTTATTTTGTTCGCAAAATCCGTGATTGCTATTCAAGTGCAAGGAAACATTTTAATCTGACGCACATCCAAGCACATTATTACAAGAAAGAAAAAAAGAAAAAGAAAGAGAAAGAGAGAGAAATTGCATTGTTATCCACGCATGATTCTCGCATTATCCTGCAGTCTCGCGATCGTCCTGCCGCGCATCGTTAATTAGCGGCGCGCGTGAGAAAATTCGCGTGAAGCGCTCGAAGCGAATCTCGGTCTGTCTGTTCGTCACGGCTGACAGAAGAAACGTGTTCTTCCTGTGCTTCATTGAAACGGCGCGGCCACAAGTTACGATGACGCTGTCACAACATAGCAAGTGTACAAAAAATTCATTACAATCAAAAACAAAATGACTCTCAAAGTTATAAAATTAAAAAATAGTAAGAGCCGAGTTAACGGATGTGTGCAAGATTATTCAACGTTAATCAACATCGAAGTAAATTAATCGACTCTGATTCGAGTTCTCTTCAATAATGTAAAAGAAAAAAAAACAATGTCAAAATAGATGTGATATAACACGATCAGCCCGGCCGACACAGATGTGTTGGCTATGCAGGAGGCGCGCGCTTTCTTTCATTAAGATTGGTACCTACTACATGGAAGTATCAACGTCGAGACTGGCTGCCACACTGTTGCGCACTTCGGCGCGACAATGCGGCTGTTCGGCTCGAGTGGCGCGTACACGTATGAAAAGGGAGTCCCGAGAATTGTACGTCACCGAAGCGTCTACAAAGAGTACGTGACATGGACTGCGATGAATGAGCGAGAAACACGCTTATCGATGTAATTATAACATGACTTAACATTAATCTCTCTCGCTTTCTTGTGTTGATAGCAACAATATCGTTGAGACGTTACTTCGAATATTGATCATTCACACATGAAGACATCAACTCGCAACGTTTGTAGTATACGCAATATTTTTCTTCCGGTTGATAATTAATTTGACATCGCTAATGAACCTGACTATCAATGAATCTCGCATCATAATTTGAAACGCCATATGGCGCACGCACATATATTTGTTTAAAAAAAAAGTAACGATTATGAAAATTATACGGTGATTGTTAAAAAAACGGTTTTCAACGCATCTGTATGTACGCAGTTGTTGGTATCCGGTTGTGTGGGACTTCGAGTACACAATGTGGGAACTAGTTTTGGAGAAATGCTCACGCCATCTCGTTTTTCCGAGAAGCGTCACCGAGACGCTGTTGCCTTTCAAAAAAAATCTACTCACACATAGAATAATTTTCATAATGTGAAAAAAATATGCGTAAATTTTTGATGAGATCTGACGCTACAAAAAAAATTGTTAAAAAATTAAAAATGTTAAAAAATGCATTTATATATATACAATTATAATAATTATTCTTGCACAAAAAATTATTTTACATGTTTTTTGTGCAATATTCATACAACTTAGCGACCAACAATTTACTACAGAATTTAAGTATCGCTACTTTGCGAGAGTATTATGAAATATTATTTCGAGTAATCGTTTCAAAGAAGCGGCTCTTTTATGAATAGTAGTAGAAACTTCCACACACACACATAGCTGCGGCCCTAGCAACTTAATGAGGAAATGTAGAAGCGGTTAAGGGGGTCCTACACAAAGTTAGCTTGGTGGGAAACGTCACAATGTAACAGATGGCCCGGGCAACTTTGTATCTCTCACATGTGAAGGGTTCACCGATCTTCACCGATCTTTACCGAAGAAAAACGCTCGTCCGCGTTATACGATAACGACCGCTCCTCTGGACCCTTTCGTCCGACACTTTGTTGCACGAAGAGAAGTTCCCATGAATTCCAAGCGTCTGTTAAGTTAGCACCTCAATATTAAAGTTTCACAATTCTGACTGAAGTTCGTTTTAATTTTATATTACAAACATTAATTTTTTATATTATTTAAAAATCATACAAAATATAAACAACAGATTTGTGTAAAAAATTCAACGACGTCTCGTGTATATTTAATAAAAATACGAATCGTAGAATATATCACTAGCGCGATATTTTCAAACCGCTGCAACAAAGTGTCGTTCGTGTCTCACCGTCCCAAGCGCAACAAAGCGGCCTTTCATATCTTTCCCTTTCCGGTTGTCGCTCTTGGCAACCGGACGTGAAAATGTCTCCGAAAACATAGCGAACTGATAAGAGTTGATCTCGTTGCACAATCTAAACATTAGATAACGCGTTTCTCCTACGCGGGAAAATACGCTTTGAACAAATAACACCGCGTGTTTATGGCGGCGCTGAAATCATCGGACGAGGATCGTCGATCGCTAATCCTCGTAGAGGATTCTCGTGTGTGTAAAACAGACATTTTCACAAACTCGGGCCATTTGTTTCGCGTCCTTTCGTCCATCAGATCGAATTAAGGTGTGCTCGTAATTCAATATCTCCATTAAGCGTACGTGCGCGTATCGAGTTACGAACCGTCGATTCCGCCGAATTACCGCCCGGATGGCTAGATCTTTTCAGGATACGTGTGCCGGTTTCCTCGTTTACACTCGGCCAAATTTGGACCTCGTGTCTTTCCCGCGTCTCTCTTACGCCAAAAGTTTTAATCGGTTTTGACACAACTGGCGCACTACGACTCTCTAGGTTTCGCGATGAAGATCGCTAGGCTGAGGACTGCGATTGCTCGAGATTAGTAGATAAAAACAAAATAAAAAAAAAAAAAAAAACAATGTCAAGTTTTTTAATTCAGATTTATTTTAGTTTCGATTATCGGCATATCCAATTGATGAATATATGCTGATAATCGAGACATTCCTCACACGAGCGCAACTTTACAACCATAGATCCATAGTAACGCGATGCATGCCGATCGTGAACTACAGCACAATAGCACCAATACCAAAGAGCACTGCGTTATTGGCATCACGCAAGGAATGTGTAGCGAGGGAGTAACGCGATACCTTTCCTCATCAATATATTGCTATATATATACACCAAGTGAATCAGAAGTCGAGAAAGGAATGTGCAATTCCTATTCGCTTCTATTGAAATTTATGATATAATTTGTGATATAAACTAAGTGTGACAACACAAATACATACTGTAAATTGAATATCAAAATGTTTTTTTGCAATAGTTTGTTAAAATTCACAGAGCGATCTGTACGATTTCTAGACTGTGTTATACGTCGTAGTTGTAAAATCACGAAAGAGATTGCACGACCGCAACAAGTTGTTGCGGTTTTGCGTTGCTGCAGCTGCGCGCGGGACATAAAAGGGTTCTTCTTTTTTTTTTTTTGTGCCCGCAAGTGCAAGTGCCGCGCATTTTCCTCTCGTGCATCGTGGCCGGCGGCCACACTCTCGTGACTCGGGTCTCTCCCGTGTGCTCCCGTATCTTTCCTCAGCATTACGACGGCCATTACTCGACACAAAGGCCGGCTTCGTTACGAACCATTGCGCGCAAAGATTGTCAATAGAACGCGATATACAGGTACCTTGTGACCTCGTGACATGCCGCCTTTGTGACTCGTCAATTATTCTATCGCGTCACGAGATTGAAGACGACCTCGGAAAGGCCGTCTTCGTGGGGGGAGAGACTTGAGAGAGCGGCGTTGAGAAATTTGGTCGACGCGTCTAGCTTGCGAAAATGATTCACGCGGCCTTTCCCCACGGCTTTAAATTTCGGCCGTGAAAACAAGGTCTCACTTGTCAGAGTGAAAAAAACGCGTGTGATCGCGCCAATATATATACGTTTTTTCGTTTAATTCGATTTCTTCGAAAAGAAAAAATGTGATCTCTAATATTCGAAACCGAATGAGGAGGATGTCACGGAGAATCTCTGAAGAAGCGGCGTCCGGTAACGCGATCCGCGTTTGTTCATCGAACACTCGATTTCGACAACGAAAAGAATCTTTTTTGAGCGAGCCGCTGTTAGAACGAGTTTCGGGTTCCTTTAGAAAGAAAGGTACATGCAGTAGGGGACAAAGACATACACATCCCAGTGATTTTGTATAGTACGCGCAGGTATGGTACTTCAGTAGGTAGGTAATGTCTAAAGGTTAGACATTTGTCAATAAAATTCGGTGGGAAAAAATTTATTAAAGCCAACAGTGATTTTTTTTTTTTTTAAACATGGAACGTGATAAATGCTTTTTTCGACATGTGCTGCTTCATTATTTTGATTTAAAAAAAACTGCAGCTGCAACTCGTAAGTTGCTTGTCAAAGCTTATGGTGGATCGTGCT